CTTCCGATATCGTCTTCTTTTGGGGTAGCTGTAGGATGCAGCCAGCGATCAAAGCCTCTTGCCTTATTAGTCCAGGGCAATTCGACGACATTCCCTTTCACGAATGTCATTAGCATGGCTCCACCGACGGCAATTATGGTCCCGACCAGCTTTCCCTGGCTGTGACGCTTACTGACATCCACCTTTTCAAGCCTTAAATCACCGAAACCCGAGTAAAACGTTTTGTGGGTTTGGGAAATTACGAATGCATACGCATATATTTGTGAGTTACCTGAAAATGCAGGCCATGATGAATGTCAACGCAGGAAGTACATTGCTCATAGCTGACGTGAACGTTGCCGTAGTAAGCTTCATCCCTGTGTAGAACAGGTTCTGCTCCACCACCGGCCTGCACTATTTGCATTTTTCATAAAGAGAGTGACGACACTGTTGTCATTCCCGTAAAGAGAGTGACTTACTCGAACAAACTCAGCACGGATACTTGAATCAAGAGCTTGAATGTCATCTTCGGTCTTTTGTTCCTGCGGTTACAGCTTCTCGTCTGTTAACCTCGTGTTTTTTCTTTCCATTTCAGGTCGGAGGAAGAAGAAAGAAGAAGGAAGAAGGAGACCTTTCGAGAAGAATGGCGAAAGGCGAGATGAGAGCAGAGGCAACGGTCATATTGTAAGCCACTAGAACACGCGGACTCGTGCCGTCGTTTAACGCGAGTTTCGCGACGATGGACATCAACGCGTAACAAAGCTGTATGAATATGACTGCCAAGAACGGCTTCGATCTCTCCAGCACCGACATTTTTTTGAAGCTTCCTAGCAAAAAAAAAAACTGGAAGATGATGGGTTTATGACCAGAGAGAGCACAAAGGGGAGAGAGTAATACAGTTTTTGTTCTCTCAGTTTCTGCTTCCCACCATTTTTACATGCTTCGGACAAGATCCTAGAGCCGTATTATAAGAAGTTTAATTACAATTAGTTTTAATTATTTTAGAGGCTTAAAAATATGAAAGATATTGATTTGATTGGCATTTAATATTCGTTCAGCTTTTACATATATATATAGAGATAGATAGATCCAATCCAAATTCGGTACAGTTTATCATAATCTCTTAACATATTTTTAGAGAATTATTTTTTTTCATAGAGAATTATTTTCATTTTATAAGATATTGAATATCTGTTTAATACATCTCTCTCACATAGTCTCTAAAATATTTGTTTCAATCGGCAAGAAAAATAAATCAAGTGTGAAAGATAATCAATATGAAAGACAGCGATTGCTTTTTTTTTTTACAGATTTGTTAATATTTTACTGAGTATCTGGGCAGTGTAAATTTCCTTCCCGTATGTCGCTGTTTATGACATTTTCCCTCCAAAACACTTGTAAAATAAAACCTAAATTCTCTCTTTCTCTCTCCCTATATTGTGTTATCCGTGGAGAATCCATAGTTACAGCTTTTCAGACCAGACACCAACCGATCCCACGAACCGGATGGTATCTCGAACAGTAAATCTTCTGATCCTGCACAATAGTCGGCAAACCACGCTCATAGAAAGTTCAGGTTCGTGTAGAAAAGATTTGTCACTTTTAAATTGAAATGGGTACTTCCCTCTATATATATATATATATATTCATTCTTTACGGTAAACACTTTTGGTTATTATTGACAAAAAATATTACTTGCACGGCAAGAGGAATCCGATTTTACTTCACCAAAAAAATGAGGAAATAACGGGTTGACCACAATAGTTCTTTTTTCCATGGTATTACTTTCATGGATTTCCCAAAAAGAATACAAAATTTATTGACCACAACAGTTCTTTTTTTTCCATTGTATTGGTTTTTCTAATTTAAGGTGAATGTGACTGACAAATATCAACCGGCTATAAGATGGTCAAAAACAGAAATGTAAACAAATTAACGGGTCGTGGACAAAAATAAATTTTTTAAAGGCATAAATTATTAACATAAAAATATAATAGTGTATATGTTTCGCGAGACGTGTGATGGCCATAGCACGTTTGTGCATATGTATATATATAGTGCGAGTCTGAAAATGGACCAACTGATAAAACAAAATGACAGTTTGTGATTGGAGTCCATCGAGAATTTTATGCCGATCGATGGGTCCCACAAGTTACCCTCTATTAATATGTACACGTGGTACCCTGTGGTAGGTAAGGACTTGCCTCTTTTCCACTTTCCTCTTCTGGTAATCTTCTAGGACCTACGGATGTATCTTTCCTCTTCGGCCCAATGTATTTTCAAAATTATAATTTCAGTTAAACTCTTAAAGTTTTCAATCGTACAAAATTTTCATATATATTTTTTAACGCACTTAATCCGTAATGGCAAAAAAATAAAGAGAAAATCTTTAAAAAAATATCAAATTTCTCAATTTTCACAAAATAAAATCTAAAATTATATTTTTTATCAAATAAAATATCAATTTTACTTTTCAGTAAAAAATAAACTCAAACTTTTGTAATCTTTATCATTTTTATACCTATTGTTGACGTGTCGTTTCGGCATACTATGTGGCAGATCGATATGTTGACTATATTTGACATATCATCATCTAGATATCACGATATTGAAAAGTTATGTTAGCAATATGTTTAAAAATGATAAAAAATATAAAATTCAAATTTATTTTTGACTGAAAAATAAAATTGATATTTTATTCGAATAAAAAACAAAATTTTGTTTTTACTTCATGTAAATTGAGAATTTCAGATTTTTTTTTGGGATTTTCTCAAGAATAAATAACCAAACTTCCAAATTAAATACACAACTATTTGATTTCTAGATTAAAACATGAAGTTTCAGAGGAAGGCTATTCGTGGGACGTGTATCGCGTGACAATCAGAGAGCCGCCCACCGAGGAAGGGATCAAGATGTACGACGGGTTCATCATCACCGGGAGCTGCAACGACGCCCACCAGGTTCCTGCAGAGATGGGATTCCGTGAGGAAGAAGGTTATCGGGATTTGTTTTGGCCACCAGGTGAAGCCGAGCGCTTACATCGCTGACACAACGACAGCAAACGCACAGGTGAGTGAGTTGATAATCCCTTGACTGATTGTTTTTTTTTCAGGTGGACAACTGGGTGTACGAGGAAGCGAACTCGACGTTCATACAGGACGAGGAGATGCTGAACC